ATAGAAAAGATCTCAGTTCATATTCAGAGGAAGGTAATGGAGCTTTTAAAAAGCCACTGCTTTTTCAAAGAGAAATGTCAAATGGTCTCAAGCACAAAAAGAGTTCTTGGAAGAACTTTAAAAAAAATTTTTTTAATCAAATAAGAGAAATTAAGGAAAAATTAGGGAGGGGGGAGATGATCCAAGAAAATCAAGAAGGTGAGATATAGATATTCCTGGAGTTATATAAAGAAGTTTCTCTCCAGGTGTCACAGTCATTAGAGTGTTGGACCTGGAGTCAGGAAGATCTGAGTTCAAATCCTACCTCACCTATTTAATAGCTGTGGGATCTTGGACAAATCACTTATCCTCTATTTGCCTCAGTTTCCTAATATAACTTCTAACTCCCAGAATTGTTATGAGGATGAAATGAGATGATATTTGCAAAGCATCTGGTAAAACAAAGTTCTATATAAATGCTAGCTATTGTTATTATTACCTCCAGGATAGTATAACAATGCTGCTTACCAATTATGGTTACAAATGTAGTTTCTTGTACCAGATTATGTTGCTTATTCTATTTCTAAAGGAAGGACGAATTGAGTCTAATATGCCATCTTTTATGTCCTTTATCTCCTAATGATATCTGCTGAAGTAATGAAAAATGTAGCTTTAGATACTAACCATATTATGCAACTGCCCAAAGGCCGAAGTATTATTTGGCTTTATGCAGTTTTTTTCTTTCTAAGATTATTCCACTATTGTACTTAAAATCTAAGTACCATGTTAACATATTAACATATGGTTCCTACTTAAGAGACAGTCTGTAACTCCCTAACTGAATATGTGGGAACATCTGAATAATTGGAAATTATTCATTTCTTTTAATGACCTTAATCTTTTCCCTTAAACAAAGGCCCATATTTGTAATACCAATCTTCTAATAATATTTTATGGATGTAAAGTTCAGAAGCACTGTGTCCAGAGAATGTAAATTTCAGATCACCAAAGGGGTAATGGACAGGCGCATGGTAGGCTAAAAAAAAAAAACCACTACAATATATTACCATCTGGGAATTGTACAGGAGAAGTGGTATAAAATCTATTATCATAGAAATGTACAATGGAAAAAAGTCAAATAGTGAGAGTGATAGAAGACCCTTTAACATGAGTTCCACTAGAACTCACACAAGGTCAAGAGAATTAGAGGAAGATATCCACTATGTCAGGTGAACCCCATGAGAATGATACATGGGAGAACATGAACAAGTTTCACACAGGATGGGATAGCCTGATAAGTTATAATAATAGCTAACATTTATATAGCAGTTTCTATGTGCCGGGCATTGTACTCAGCACTTTACCATTCTTATCTCCAATAACCCTGGGAGGTAGATGTTGTTAGTATCCCCATTTACAGGTGAAGAAACTGAAGAAAAAGAGGTGAAGTGAATTGCCAGGATCACATAGCTAGTAAGTAACTGAGGCTGGATTTGAACTCGTCTTCTTGATTCCAGCCCCAGTGATCTATATACTGTGCCACCTGACTCTATAATTTTATAATCTAAAAAAATTTAAGGAAATACTCATATCAATAAGATCACATATCCATCAAAGTATCAGAGTATATCCTGAGACCTAACATGTTAGATATAGGTCAGCAGTACAAGTAGACTGGAATGTATACAAACATTTGAAATTTTTGGTTGGCCCAATCCATTATAAACTAGACAGAATGTTTTGTGATTGTAGAACCTTGGCCATGGAAAATCAAGCTAATCAAATCTTTCAGTTATTTTGATTATGCTGAACACATGTGAAGGCCATCTGAGTATGTGTACATCTATGTACATGTTTATATATTTGTGCAGAAACATGTGCATCTATTTATAACAAGTAGCTATTCAAATTTAGGTTTGCTTACAGGACCAATGTACTATGAGGACCAAATTGGGAATTTTAGAACACATGATAGGGGTTGTGCTATAACAAAAGAATATGTGGGGCTTTCTAGTTATAAAGAACTTTTGAAGTATATTTAGAAGATGCATATTTTATGATAAAAAAATAAAAATAAATAAAATAAAAAAATCATTCAGGTTTTGTTCTTTGTCAACTTTATTGTAAATTTTCTCATAACACTAAACTCTATTTATCACTCTCTTGTTCCCTCTACCTTCCCCCCCCAAAAAAAAAAAGAAAATTGAAAGGAAACTAAGGGATATATGAGAGGCTCCCCAGATTGGTAGTCAAAATAACCAGGTTCTACTCTTTGCACTGGCACTGTATTATTTTGGTCATGATATTTCTTCCCATTCCAAATCTAAAACTAGACTAACAATCACTATTACCTAACTCAGGATCATTAATATGAGCAGAAAAGCAAAATGTAAATTAATCCTTGGGGTTAAGATATGTAGGGGTTTTTTTCTTAAGTTTTACCTTATATGGTTAGAGTATATGATTTATTACTAATCACTTCAAAAATATTCTAGCGGCCCCATAGCAATAAAACACAGTAGCCAAAGATGATATCCATTGCATTTAGAGGAAATGGACAAAAAGAGGTGGGTTGCTGAAAGAGGCATTTATATATTAGCAATAGAGAATAACCTGAACAAAATGTTGGAGACAAGAAGAGACAGAAGAGAGGGAAAGGAGACACAAGTACAAAGAAATAATGAGAGAGATAGTAAATCTGTTACAGACCATAGATTATATACATACAAAGATGCTGTTGTTGAATTCAATCACAACTGACCTAGTCATTAAAAGGTTGCATTTGACAAATCAGTTACTAGAAGTAAAAAAAAAAAAGGCAAGATAATTTTATGAACAGAAATTATAAGTGTACACTTGACTCCCATGTAGATAAATATGAAGAAAAAGTAAATGAAGCTGCACCTCTTTCCTTTAAGGTCTGCAGAGCAGGAACTGAGTTGCATGTAAGACCACCCTGAGAAGAGTCTAATGAAGTTGCTGTCCGTGGTACTAATATTTCAAGCATTTGTGGCGCCAGTTCTGCCCTAAACATGTTTTCCCAATAATTGTCATGGGGAAAATCATAAGATTTAAAGCTGGAAGGGCCCTTAAAAATAATCTAGTCCCTCATCCCTTGTTTTACAAATGACAAACCTGATTTTCAGAGAGTTGAAATTATTTGCCCAACAGAAAATGCCAGAGACAGGTTTCAAAAATCAGTTCCCTAACTTCAAACGTATTGGTTTTCCCACTCTGATACGCTATCTCTTAGAAATATCTCAACCATATTGCTGTCTTTGCCTGCTTTTTTTCCTTACTCCCCAAATGTGACCTCATAGTCCTCATTTCTCCCAAACAATTCCTAGAGTAATAGCTCACATTCACATAGATCTTTATTGTTTATATAAAATGATTTCATATCCATTGTTTTACCTGACCCTCACAATAATTCTGTGAAGAAGGCAAGAAAAAAAAAAGGAATTGAGACTGAACAACTGTAACTCACCCAAGGTCATGCAGCTACACAAAACTAGTCAAGGAATCCAGTTTTTCTTACTCCCTTTACACTGTCATACTTCCTTTCAAAGCAAAATCTTCACATTGGTGCCCCTACATGAGGAAAGTATATTGTGACAATTCAATCCAGATCATTTATTCCCAGCTCTTTTTATATTGTTTGCATGGTCAATAAAAAAACTAAGGCCTACATTAAAATCCCAGTTACAAGGAAATAGCATCCTTAATGGTCACATTAGTACTACTGGGGTTCATTAGATGGGATGTCCCAGCAGCAAACTTTAAACCAGCAGCATTAAAATCCTGGTTTCCTCAAGAGAAAAAGGAAACAGCAAAGAAGAGAGTAAAGAGGAGGATTATAGATTTAGAGCTAAAAAGTGATTCAGAGGTCATCTGGTCCAATCCCTTCATTTTATGAAGAGAAAAATTATTAAGTAGTTTACATTCATGTGAGTTGCAAGGAAGAAATTCTGACAAATACCCAGTTTCTATGTCTTAATCCTATGAAAACAATCAACTTGCCTTTTAAATCTTCTCAGTCAACACTGAAGAAATTGTCCTCTTCAGTACACTTAACTGCATTGTCATTACAAGCCAAAGCTCTTCAGACAGCCCACCCATAAGTATATTCACCATTATATTTCCTCAGAAAAATAAAATTTTGATCCCAGGAAGACATAACCTATCATTATCTTCCTATCCTAACTGCACAGACAGCATTTTAAAAAAATCTTTTAGGTGATGCATACATTTATTTAACACTAAACCTAATGAGCTTGGAACTGGGAGATGACTGCCATATATACTGGTTTAAAAAAAAAAAAGTCATACCAAACACTTGACCTTTATACTCAAGCAAATGAAAGACTGCTCAGCTGTTTCATGACAGCACCACACCCTGTTTTATTTTTATGGCTATATGCTTAATTATAATTGCATAAATTCCCTTGACAATAAAAATTTAATTGCTTGCCAAGGTGGTGGGTTTAAATAGGTGAAAGTGTAAACAAGGAAACATTGAGTGAACACATTGAAATTCTACAGTCCAAGATTTCTTTTCATAAAAATATTCTCATTTTAGGCTACATTTTCTTTTTTTAATGCATTATGTCCACCTAGTTGCATCTATACTTCAAAGTAAAAACATACACATACAAAACAGGATACTCAAGATTTTTCAGTGTCTCTGGCTGCCAGACACGCCCAAGTGAGAAAGCTTCTTCACTTGATGCAAGACTTGGTTTCAGGAAAGCCTTTAAAATGCCAAGTTCTTCCTGAAGAGGGCTTGTCCAGCATGACAGGTACAGAACTGTCACCAACTGGTCCTCTTCAAAAGGGAGAACTCCTGGAAAGGAGGAATTATTTAAATGTATATTGAAAATATCTCACTAAACTTTCAGCAGAAAAAATCAGTCGTTTAAACCACAGAGTGGCGCCAGCGGAGCGAATCCCAGGAACTAGGTTTAAGAGTAAAAGCTGCTGACTGTGACCGATACAACAAAAGCAATCGAGTTGGCCTGCTGTTTTCTCTTAAGAAAGAAGGGAGCGACTACGACTACTTGAAGATGGGGAAAGTGGAAGGGGAGGTGTTTCTGCAAGTATTTCCAAAGTCTTTGGGTTCCTGCCTTTCATTTGCAATACGAACTTTGGGTGGAATGTTCATGGGAGTACTAAGCCACAGTCTGTTCTTGGGTTGGGGTGGTCCACCTGAATGGATTTGCGGCGCATGCTCCCCAGTATCTACCCCAGCCCTCCCCTTCTCGAGAGTGTGGTCGCTCCTGATTGTCTGCGGTGATGTCATCGGCTGCCGGGTGAAAAGACAGGCAAGTTAGAACAAGTTCAGCGCTAGCCTGGAGCGGAGGTGGAGCCATAGAGGGGTGGGGAGAGTAGGGCACTGTCCCAGCTGGAGAGAGAAAATAATTTCGGTCTCCCAGACGCGGATTCCCATTACTGCAACTAGCAGAGGTGGGAAAGGTCTTTTTGCTTCGGCACTGCCCAGGTGCGTCTGAGTACTGGAACCCCTTTCATTAGCAGAGGCGAGGAAACTTTCGCTTATTAGATTCACTCCAAAGTCCTCATGGGGGTGGAAAGCTGGAATTAGCTAATACTCTGGACTGCGAAACCACGGGTCACTGAGGCGGAAAAGGGATATGAGGGGTGGCTGGAAGCCCAGCTATCAGCTTTAAGACTCAGTGCAAAAACACCACAGGAATAGAAAAAGGGGTTGAAGCAACCCTCTCCAACAAGGTGCAAAGGCCCTGGAGTGAAGAAGGGAAGGAGGAAAGAGAAGTACACAGAGTGAACCTTGCAGTATCCAGTCGAGACATTCACGGATTCTGAAATGACAGAAAAATCAGAGGAGGAAAGGGGTATTCGCCTCGACAGCTATCTCGACCTGACCAGTGTCGCTGCCCGAGGGCAAGTAGAACGTTTGCAGGAGCTCCTGGCAGCGGGAGCAGATCCCAACGGAGTCAATCGCTTTGGGAGGCGGCCCATCCAGGTACCTGGGGCCATACTGGATGGTCGGTAGAGGGCGGGAGAGTAGCAGGAGCTTGGCCTTGGGATGGTTTCTTGAAATACGCGGTACGTGGGGCCAGAGAAATCGGGTGCTGCAACATTTCCCCGGCCGGGTACCTGTGCTTTGCCCGTAAGATCTGATGAAACGCATTATTAAGAGAAATGAATTTTTTAAAAATATCTGGATAATAGACATAATGCACCGCACGACTTTTTAAAATATTTTTTAAAAATATATCCAAGATGTCCTCTTCCCTTCCCTTCTCCCATTCTGAAAGCTCTTTGTGGATTTACTTTGGGCCATTTTTTTGTTTGTTTGTTTATTGACTTTTACTGATTAACACATACAGGCTGGAAAGTAAATGAACAGTTCCGCAATTCAGAAGGTATGCAAGTATTTCTACTTAACAAAAAATAAGGAATACTAATGCTACTTTTCAATAAAAAAAAAAAACTAAGTGGGGCGTTTATATACGGGTATGTTATATGTCAGAGAGAATCGGGAAAAGAAATTATGCTACCGAGATTTTTATCGGTATTACATACAGCAGGGAGGGTTGGGGAGACTGCATGCTTATTTGAGCGATTATTATTTTTTCAGACATATTACATTTGAAAAGATTTTAAATGTAGGTCAAGCCTTGTAATGAAAGTACTGCATGAGTAGCATACTTATTATTCGTTAATACTACCCCGCCCCCCCCGACTTTAGAAAGGTGTCAAAGAATGCTGATTGAAACGATAACTTTTTTTCCCCCAGATCATTCCTACTTTTTCGTCAGTTTCCCCGTAAAAACATTTTGTCTATAGAGGAACAAACAATTTCATGAGTCCCTGTCCCCAATACTTGGAGTCAAAGAAAGTAGTCCGTTTCACTATTGCCTTTTGCTATGCTATACTGATTTAAAACTGCCGATTTAAAAAAAAAATCATTCCCTTTATATGTATTTAATAACATACATATAACAGAAGGGCAATAGAAATACTTTTTTGTGTATTCTTTAAAATCTTAAAATGTTATCATAATTTATAGTGCATACTTGTACTATATGATTCTGTTGGAGAACCAGTTTTTCCTTTCTAGTTCTCCTTAATTATTATGTCCATTTTGCTTCAAAGTATTTCTACTGTAACTTTGAATGGTAGAAGCTAGTTTCATATGTGTGTGCACATGTATGCATGTGAGTGTATTGTGTTTATGTATGTGTGTATATGTACACATACATATACATACATGTGCGTATGCTAGAACTCAAGGTCTTGTCACTTAAACATATTTGTTTCCATTTCACCTGACTGCACTACCAAAACAAGTAAACAAACAAAAAAACCCAACCCACATTATTCTCCATTTGGAAAGTTCCTCTTATAAGGAGTTTATTCTATAAGTCACTTTAAAAATATTTCTGTTTAAAAACTGGAGTTGGTCAATCTTCATATAGATGTGTATGGGGGGGTTGCTGGTAGTCTAAAGGATTTTACTGCTAATACTCCAACTTTCTTTTAGAATGACTAAATGACACTTTTCACAGGGCAAAAATACTCTTTGGACATATATATATATATATATAACATGTATAATATGTTATATATATGCATGTATCTTTTACGTGCATCTTTTCCAACATGAAATTTAATTTAAATACTAATAGTTTAAAACTTTCATATTCATTTCAAGTCAATAAAACAGTCACTGTTTTCATCTTTTAAAAATACTGTCAAATTCTGTTTTATAAAATTTTGTAATTGTAAGACAATTAGTAATTTGTCATTTCCTGACTAAAAAGTCATTTTCTAGAAAAGGTTACTGTACTAGTTTATCATTATTTGAAATAGGGGTGGGGTGGGAAATCATGTATAAAGTTGACAGCTGAGAAATTTGTTTTAACTTATTTTTATATGTGGATTTACATAAAATAGACAAATATATGTATAATCTTTCACTACTATAAAAAATAATTTATGAAAAAATTTCCAGGCAAATAGCAAATTTGTAAGTGTGTGTGTGTGTGTGTGTGTGTGTACACATATCTCCACTGGCATAAGTCAGACATTCACATCACCTCATTGACCACACTCCAATTATCTTCTAGGTCATGATGATGGGCAATGTCGGAGTAGCAGAGCTCCTACTGAAGCATGGAGCAGATCCCAACGTCCCTGACCCCACCACCCTCACCCTACCAGTCCACGATGCAGCCCGAGAGGGCTTCCTGGACACCCTGATCTTGCTTCATCGTGCAGGAGCCCGCTTGGACATTGGAGACTCTCTAGGCCGCCTCCCCTTGCACCTAGCTCAGCAGCAGGGACACCACCAAGTCACCTTATACCTTCAAACAGTTACAGGGGATTGAAAGCAATGATGAAACTAATCCACCCTTGGGACTTCTTACCCTTCTCCCTTTGGCTTCCACAGCAGCTCCAAACAGATTGAGGAAGGGATACCTGGAAGGTGACAGAGAGCAGCTTTGAACATACTCCCTTATGCACCTTCTCAGACAGGATGACAAGTTTCTAGTCAGAGACCCACCCAGCCAAAACTCCCCAAGGAGGAAGAAGGTGTATTCATACTCTAGCTATACCCTCAACTGTTTCCTTCATTTTCTCAGTTTACAGTAAAAACAGGAGCTGAGTAGAAATGGAGAAGCAATTTTTTGGTCAGTATTTCCATCTGAGGAAATAAGAACAGGGTAGAAAATCTGCAAATGTGAGACTTCTAAATACATAATTTGTGGTGGGAAGTTAGTGGGGTGGTGGATAGAAGACTTTTTTTTTCTCTGAAGGTGGGGGAATGGTGGTCTATGGAATACTGTCTCATCCAGATAGGCATCCCTGGTGGAGGAACCAGTTAGAAAAACCTTCACTGGAGGATCTGGCAGTACAGTAGGAATCCTCCCCGGCTTAACTGGAGTGGCCTAGAACACTGGTAATATTGGTACAAAGTGGAGGGAAGAAGAAAGTTTTAATGATGCAGGTAGATTTTATTATGGGAGAGGGATATTCTACTGAGTTGCTAAGGGAGCCAAAGATGGCAAATAGAACTGATGTGCTCACTTTTGGGGGGGGGTCAGATTTATTCAGTCTGGCTTGTAGTGGAAGGGAAGGGAAGGGAGTATTGGAAGTCACAGATTTGCCCATAAACTTTAAAAACCAAGAGATGCAATGATAGATGGCTCTCTGAAATGTTTTGGCCACTGTTAGTGTTTTTTGGGTCCCTATCTCCTTAAAGGTTCTAGCCAGGATGAAATAGCAGAGTGGGAAAAAAAAGTGTGAGTTAGGGAAGTGTTTTCTAAAGAGATTCTTTGAAACTCAGGCTAACTGTATTGGGAAAGTGCCATAGCACCATGTAAACTCATCAAACTCATGCCTAAAACATCCATGTTAATTTTACTATGGTGATTAGATATCAAGGAATTCAATACAGCATCCTGGGAGGTTTCTATTAGAACTACATTAATTACAACCTGTTTACTAGTCTAAACTGAGATAATGGATCCCTTTACAATTCTTTTAAGCCCACCTGGAAGCAAAGGTCTGAATTCAAGATCCAAATTGGCTTTTGTGACCCTGGGCTAGTTAGACTTAATCTCTCAGGGCTCTAAGAAACTCTTTAACACAAAGAGAGCTGTTGTTTCCCTCAGTTGCAGAGAAGGTGCTGATCTGCATAGGTTGAAGGAACTTCCTCACTGAGGAGCTTCCTAAGCCAGAGAGATCACAGATGTAGTCTCTATCCCTATCCTATTCGTCTGTTGTTTTTCAAACTATTTTCTCTGTGGGTTTGTCTCGGGGGATGTATTTAAATGACCATTTAAATATTATAAATGTGGTTTAGAGCACTGATGAATTTATTCAATAAAATTATCTCAGAATTCAGTTACTAGGTTTCTTAGTAGGAAGAAAAAATTTCCCATTGGTTTGCAGAGGGATTGAAATGAGTCTAAAAGCCGTTGAAATTTTCATAGCTCTTGGAATGACTTGTAATAGCTTGTAATATGATAATTTGCCTTCTAATGCATAAATCATAATGCATGGCTTCCAGGTTTAAATGCTCATTGTAAGTTGATTCAGAAACACAACAGCTGATAATTCTTAGTCTTAAATAACAGGACTTAGGACACAAAGTAAATCCCACAAAGTTGTAGGTAGTTGGGTACAAAGTAAATGAATATGAATTCACCACCAACTAACGAAGTTACGAAGATCCTGAAATTGCACCATACCAAATATATGTTTTAAAACATTTGCACATTTAGAACTGTGTTAATTTTTGTGAAGATTCAGGGTTTTTTTAAACAAACATTAGCAAGTAACTATGCAAAACAATTTATAAAAAATGATCTGACAAGTAAAAATGCAATGACTTAACAAAACATCTAATTGATGAATCTATCTCACTTCTAAGATCTCAAGCATTGTACATAACATGCTCAAATGGAGGAAAAACATTCAGGACAAATCAGACAAGAAGCATTATGAAGAGTAAAAAATTACTTATTTAAATGTGAAGTCTCTACTTTCTCCCACTAATGTACTGGAGGAACACTTGGCAAATATCTGATTGGGAGATTTAGTGAATTTTATGGGCCACAATCTGCTTTATTCCATATGGTTATTTGTCACCATAGTGCTATAAAATAAGCATTTAAAAAATATTCATTGAATCTCGAGCAGATTTTCTTACCAAAACTTTTTCAAATTTTTCCATAGTTTCATTAGCTTGAATAGAAGACATTTTAACGACCTAATAATTCTCAGTCTGCCTGTCTGTCTGTCTTTCTCTCTTTTTCTCTCTCCCCTCTCCTCTCTTCTCCCTTCCTCCCTCCCCCCCCTTCTTCCCACTCTCTTTCATTCTTTTGTCTTAGCACTCCTGGCAACCCTCTAAAGCTATAAATGACAAAGAAGGCTTTTGACCTGAATTGATAGAGGGAGTTTCCTTAACCAGAAGTTCCCGGTACAGATGAAACCCTAAAACCAGTCCCTAACCCCAAATTAGGGAAGATATACTACCTAGCTCACAAGCTATGGGAGAAAAGTGCATTTTGTAAATCCAAAGAAATTATTATTAATTAGTGTACTATCTTGTTATGTATTTCCAAAATTCCAAGAAGCCAGAATTTAGTAGTTGCATGATGCTGAGTAAAAGAACTCTTTTGTAGGGTGTATATAAAATAAATTCAAGTTTGTGTACAAATTATTTCATTTATAGGCAAGTAAAACTTTCTTATAGTTATTACTAATGAGCAGCTGAAATTGAAAGTAAAACCAAAAGAAAATTACTCTCTTAACACAATAATATTGAGCTTTGTGTTTTTTTAAAGTCAAACTTACTTTCCCAAGACCAAAAAGTTTTAGAAAAATAAACTATTTAGGGACTATTCACTGATTCAGTAACTTATTAATAACTTATAAGAGTAATTTCAAGATATTTAGTAGACATCTATAGAATAGTTTAAACAAAGAGAAGAGTATGGTTCAATTTAGTTTATTAAAATTATAATGCAGAGTTCAATCTGAAGGCTTAAAACTGCACCTAGACTTTTGGGACACTGTATATAATGGGTTTGGTTTCGATTTGCTTTAGTTCTTATGATACCTTCATTAACCAACCACTAAGTCAAAAATGAAAGGGGTGTGTGTGTATGTGTGTGTGTGTGTGTGTGTGTGTGTTTTAAATAGGTCACATAAGTAGTACAAGCTAGATCCAAAAAGTTTATGGTTCATAAACCCAGCCTGACTTCAATCCAAATAGTACACAGTGAAATAAATACTTCTTTGATTTTATTTTGCTACATATGTGCTATTTGGAAGAAGGTCACACTGGCTTTTTGAGCCAAGAATGGATATTAAAACAATAATATAATTGCTCCTAAGTAGCCTTAAATTTTATATTTAATTCAATAAATATTAAGCAATATTATATATGAGACCTGAGGATATACAAAGACATAAACCCTGCCCTAAAGAAATTTATAACCTCTTAACTTTCATTAAAAATTATTTTAATACTAAAAGTGAAATAAATTATGATAAATTAATAGCTAGTTAATTCATGGAATTTCAAAAAGAGTTACAGAGATATAAATAATTTTGAAAAGCCTGAAAAGTTCATAATCATTAACTATTTTATTTAGGTTCTCATGTATGTAAGTCAGCAAATTCTGTTTCTCTACAGGTCGAGTAATTGTTCAGCTAGCAAATGTTACAAACGGAAATTCAGGTTCAATCTCAGAATGCTGAACCTATAAGAAACCTTTAGAAATCTAGTCTACCTCACTTATTCGATCAGGAAATTGAAGCCTCTGGAGTTAAATGACTTGCTCTCTTAGCTATTAAGTAGCAGAGTAGGGTGGGAGCCCAAGGCCTTTCTTGAAAGATATAGATAACTATATTGGTTATCTTGAAAGAAATAGATAACCATATTGGTTATTTTATATCAATCATCTATCTATCAACCTATCCATTTACCTTTTTTGGAAAATGTAAAAAGGTGTATTGGGATGGTCGGGAGATCTGAAATTTACCACAATTTTCATGATTTTGCTTTTTACCAGCACATTCAATTAAGACAATCATTTTGCAAAGCACAAAGGCCAAAATTCAGCCAGGTGTATACACCTAAGCATTCAGATGTGTGCATTCATATCCACACATGTACACACAACACACACTCTCTCTCTCTCTCTCTCTCTCTCTCTCTCTCTCTCTCTCTCTCTCTCTCTCTCTCTCTCTCTCCCCCTCTCTCTTATACTTTAGTCTTAACAAGAATTTTATTATTTGATGAGATCATATAATATCATGTAGTTTTCATGAATCTAGTACAGTGTCTCCTGAATGAAAGATTTAGTAGCAATAGTAGTTTGTGTAAAGAGGAGGGGGATGAGAGGGATGATGGCTTTTGAAGTAAAAGTCAGTTTTGGGGATCTGCAATACAGTTTATTCTAATCCTAATTCACAAATCATAGATCACTAGATCTTGAAGAGCCATTAGAGGTTATGTAATTCAGCCTCCTTATTTTAAAGATGAAGAAAATGAGGTTCAGGGAAATTTAATGACTTGTCCATGATCATGCAGCTAACTGGTGGCAGAACCAGGACTTCAGTTTCATATCTTCTGTTAAATACATAGAAGCAGATTCTGAAACGATTTACAAATTGCTGTTCTTACCTTCTAAAAAAATCATTTGACAAAGATTCAAGACTTTCCATTTAACTTTATTTTAAAAAGGAAAAATAGTGAAATGAAAGTACATTATTTTCAAGAGATTCTCGTGATCCTTTTTTTTTAATCATGAAGCACAATTTTGTTGTACAGTGATCACATTGAGACTTTTTAATTTAAGTTTCACATTTGTTGGAACTGTTTCCTTTTGAGAATTCTTGCGACAGGGTAAACTAGAAGGGAAATACTTTAAATGTATATATGTAATTAAATGTTTTCTTAACGTGATCAGCCATATTTACTACACAATCTGAGCCCTCAGGAGGAAAAAAAAAGTTATAAGAAGGTCTGCTCTTGTTTTATTCATTTCAGAATATATCCTTTAATTCCAGAGATTGTGTAAACATTAGTTAAGCCTAGGGAGTAAAAATGAAGGCAGAAAGTAAAGGTTTTCTTTCTTGCTTTTCTTGTCTTTGTGCATTTTCCCCATGCAGATCAAGCTGAGTAAGTGATCTTGAGACTAAAAATTCACTGTTTAGTTGAAGTGGGCATTATATTTCTGATATTTTATGGAGTCTTAGAAGCTTCTTATAATACTCTACAAATAACTCTTGTGGAATTAGTACAGTAAGATAGAATATCTTTGATATTTTAACTCCTTGACTGGCTTCAAAGATCATTTTCTTTAGTCCCTTACTTCCCAAGTCTTACAGAAGCAACTTGGCTGAGAGAAAAAGCAGAGCACATAAAGAGTCAGGATATTCTTCCACTTAAGGCAGCTATAACTGGGAGAGAGCTACTGAGACAGGCAGAGAATAAAAGCAGGAAAGGAATGAGATAGGCGTTGCCATTAATAAGTCTCAGGGGCAGAATCATACAAATATGGAATTGATCAGAGGTGGAAGTGACTTAAGAGGTGACATAATCCAGACCTCCCATTTTAAAGATGAAGAAACTCAATTTTCAAGATTTTTGAACCTGATGTAAAATCTGATACACAAATGTTATTACTGCTACTTTGAAAAGATAGAAAAAGTCTCTTAGAAATTTCAATATCTATGCCATATTTATCCCTTTACTGAAAATAAAATGTTTTTTCTATTAAGTAATGTAGGAACAGCTGTAAAATAAAAAGAGACAAATTGTTTGTCATATGTGAGTTGCACTTCTCCCAGAGAAGGGAATGATATGTCCAAGGTCTCACAGCTGGTAAATAGCGGAGCTAGAAGTAAATTATAATTTCTCATTTAACAGTATATTTCCTGCACCATACTGCCCTCTTGACAGCTGTAACTAAGAAGGGTGTTTGTGGGAAAGAAGCTGGGATTTCAACAGAATAATAAATTCAATGTATATTTGTCTCCAGAGCTTCATGCTGGTGGGAATTCTGAAATATTATGAGTCATGTGCCCCAAGTCTTAGGAATTATCTCAAACCCCACTATTACTTGACTCACTGTACCACCTTTTATTTTATTAACTTAAATTATCACAGATGAGTTCATTCTGGGCTTCGTAGCCCAATCTGCCTGTTAGAATACAGTAGTAACAAGAGCATTGTGAATTGTTCACTATACACAAAATGTCATATATGTAGAGATGAAAGGGATGATAGGGACCATTTAGTCCAAGTCCATCATTTTATAGATAATGAAATTGAGGATGAGGGAGGTTAAGTAACTTGCCTAAGACTTTTATAGGTAGTAACCATGTGA